TTTTCTTCAAGAAGCAAAAAAACCCTTTACTTTTTCTTAAAGCAGTTTCAGAGGCACCTAATCTAATCTTTCCAAAACAATTCTCTGGCAGCCAGGGCTCACATATTTTAAAAAACAGTGTAGAAAGGGATGTATTGTGACAGTTTAATTTGTTGCTGAAATATGGTCACCTCTGGGGTAATTCAGAGCAACCGTGGAGTGGATGATAAACCTGTTCAGGACGGGAGGTGAGTAAAGGGAGGCTGCTCAGATGAAACCGCCAATGGAAGATGCCCATGCAGAAGTATAATTCCTGGAATTTAGGTTCATCTTCTTCCTCCTTTGACTTTAATGGAGCTGTAGCCTGTTCACATCTTCTGAACAGGGCAGTTGTTGCTGAGTCCTTGCATGTGTCCTTGCTGTGGCAGCAAGGGAGGTTTTGGTGGTGATTCTCCCAGGCAGGTGGTAGGGAAGACCCTCTGGTACTGGCCAGCTTTAGGGATGAAATGGATGCAGAAGAAAAGGTGGAGGATTACAGCACGTAAGGTACAGGTCCCTGTACCTTCTAGTCCCTGGTTGGGGACTTCTAAAGGCCCAGGTCAGCTAGCTGGATATTGTAGTCACCAATCCATGGGTGCAAATTGAGCTGTGTAAAGCTGGCCTGCAAGCTCTACCATTTTAAAAAGAAAACAAGGCAATTGCAGGATGCTCTTGAGAAAGCAAAAGAAAGCCTGCCCGAGTTTTAGAGGAAGATGTACAATTTGAAAAGAAAGAGGTATGGAGTTGCTTCTGTAGCCCTGTTTAGGGTCCTCAAGAAGAGCGTTGTCTGAAGTGTGCTCCTTGTGAAGAGGTGGGAAGCTGAGTGCCTAGCAGAAGGCTGGGCTTTTTCAGAGCATGCTACTAGGTACATGGTTTTTGGCAAGCCCTGCAACTGTATTGCAACAGGGTTACAAGATCTTGTTCAAATTCCACTGAAGTTGGTTGAACTATGTTGACTGCAGTGACCGTGGGCTAGCAGGCAGTACAGCATCTCTCAGGTCAGTTCAGGTTTTCATCTCCTTTATTTTGGAGTCTGCATCTAGAATGAGTTTATTCAATTCACAGCTTAGAGCAACTTCAGAATAAATCCCAGGGAGGAGAAAAAGGAAAAAAACGAACCCACCACCAACAAAATAGGTCGAAATAATCAAACAGCTTGTGCTATGGAACTGGGATGTGACTGGCAGCTGATGCGTGGAGGTGGACAACCACCGGTCATGCTTTCTCAGCATCACTTGCTCTGCAGGGGCAATGGGAGCAAGTACCTGTTGGGATTAGGACGCAAAGAGATAATGTTTAAAATCTGAGGCAGGAGCCTGTAAACTCTGTGACAGTTGTATGCTGGGGTGGAAGAAAAAGCTCTGCCACCAGTAAGTCACCCTTTCAGGGAGCTAATTTGAACTTCTTGTTTTCTTCTGAACCCTTCAGTTCAGTCCCACTGTGGGTAAATGTCGTGCAGTCTCTTCCATGCTTGCTTTTTTTTCCCCCTGTTTGATTTGAGGGCCCTTTGTAACAACTTATTCCTCATTCATCCTGTTGTCAGGGAAGTTGTTCTGCCTACAGTCCCTGTCTGAGCTTAATTTTCTTATTTTCTGTAGCACAAGGGCTGATGGCTTCACAAATCTTAGAATAACTCCTCAATCTCTCCCCTGGCCAGCCTAGCAGCATGACAGCTCCATTTAACGTGCGCCATCTGCTTTGGCTTCCTGCCCCTAGACTCATTATTTTGCATTTGTCTGCATCAAACTCCAGTGTTGCCTGCCCCAAAGGATCGTATATCAGAAGTCATGAAAAAGAAAAGAATCCTCAAGGATGGTCTGTAAATCCCAAGTCTCTCCACTAAAAGAAATGTGCAAGTCTGGGTGTTCTATCCTTTCCTCTCCCATGTCCTTGCCCCAGCCCTGCTGTGTGCATGCATCCCTCCCTGCCTGTCCTGGTGCATCTCTTGATGGGCATGAAGTGAGCCTTGTAGGTTCTCTGGGCAATGCCGTTCTCACAGCACAAAGTGTTTGGTGCCTGGGATGTTTCCCTTTCTTCTCCTGCTGACACAGAGGCAGGTCAAGACCCGCAGCTCTGCCTTCTCTTCAGCCAGCCCCCAAAATGACTTGGATCCACTTGGAATATTGTTACAGGGAAAATATTGTGAAGTTTTCTCGGTGGTAGATACTTCAGGGCATGGGCCTCTCATCTACCACTTGAAGTGTAGTGTTACCTTCAGGCCTTGGGGACTGGAAGTGCTTTCATGTTAGGTGCAGTGTGAGATAGTCCCTCTCTGAAAAGCTTAGTGCAAGATGGGGAACATCAGGGTGTAATTCATCTGTCCAGATGTTGACATCTAACATCCCAGCTGCTTACCCTCAGCCCCCCTGTATAGGCAGCAGAGGAAATGAGCGCTTTCATCTCATCCTAATGCAGATAGATATCTGAAACAGGTCAGACAGATCGTGCCTGTCTCTTCTCATTGATGATAAAGAGGCTCTGGATGATGGGCTCTCATGGAGATGTCTGTGTTGTAGGTGAGGTGAATCCCACCTTGACTAGCTACATTGAGCAGGTTGGAGTAGCACAGAAAGAGAGCAAGACAGTGTTGAATGTAGTCTGTCCTTGTCTTAGCTGCATGCTGTCTCATTTGGTAAACCTATGCCTCTTCCTTTGCTCAAGAAGCTACCCTTCCTTTTGGTTCCTTGCTGGCCAAGAGCTAGAGGGATGTCATTCAGACAGCAACTGGAAGACAGAGTTAAACACCTCTCAGAAGTGCTCCTAGCAAAGGTGCTAGGACAGAGTTCCAAGTCTGTACCAGCTCTGGACTAAGGGGCTTTTTAACCAACTGAAGGCAGAAGGCATAGGTAGGAATGGAGCAGTTTTGTCCCTGTTTCATCCTTTCATACTGAGGCCAAGCAGCTGCTAGCATAGGTCAGGGGTTATTCGGATACTTCTCAGGAGCTCCTGACCTCGTGTGTGTGCCCAAACAGCAGTCCTGTTGTATTACAGTGGGGAAAGACATGAGACCTCTAAATTTGGAGCTGGGACAAGGGCATGGGGACTTCAGATTGTGGATTAGCAAATGATAGCAGCAGGAGCCCTGTGGTGCCTCTGCTAGGGCTGCACATCTGGGTGTTCCAGGCTTGGTGGGTAATGTCTTTTGGGGGGGGGGGGGGGGGGGGGAAGCTTTTTCCTAACACTGAAGCGCTATTAAATGCCGTAATGGGGCTTTGGGAGTGATGGAGCCAGTTTCTGTAGTTTTGTATCCCACTTGAGCTGAACCTTTACGGTTGCTCTGAAGACCCTGGTGTGGCCTGCAGGGAGCAGGTTGGAGGAGACCCAGAGCTGTTCTTGAAAGAACTGGAAGAACAAAGCTGAGCTGACTGGAAGGAATAAGACCTGGTAGCCTGGGGAGGATTTTCTTGACTGGCTGAGTTTTCTCCTTTGATTGGGAGCACTTGTTCCATCATGCCTTTTGCTGGGGAAGAATTAGCCTGGTGGCAGAAATGTGATGCACCGGGTGTTTTGGGAGTGAAAAACCTGTCCGCAGCAAGAGCCTGCAGAGCTTGAACTCAGACTTCGAGTCCCTGTGCTGGCAGCTGGTTGCAAGCCTGCTCAGCAGGGGAGGGTGCCGTGCCAGGCTCTTTACCCTCAGTCTCATGCCTGTGTAGTCAGCATTAAATCCTAGGACCCCGAAGAAAACCAGAGTCAGTTTTGTACCCCACTTTTTGTTTGTTACTGAAACTCATGCTATAATTCTCATCAGTTCAGACACCCATAAAATGGTGGTTAGCTCTGGAGAGTCTCTGGAAGTCTACTGTGTGCACTACAGTTGCTTCAAACTTTGCAATAGCAGGGAATTTATTAGGGGAAAAAATTCTGGCTGACCTAGGTGGGAAGCACACATACCATGCTACAGAAAAAGGCAAAAAAATACCTTATATTCCATTATATAGTGTATTTCCCTCACTTCACAATGCATCTGATCTCTCCCTGCTCTCTCTCCCAGCTACACGTGTCTACCACAAGCTTTTCTACTTTCGAACTCATGCTTCTAGGGGACGGAGAGGGCAAGGGAGAGTGTATGAAAACCTTCAG